CTAACCTTCGCATTCTCACGTCACATGGTCCTCTCTGCACTTCACCTTTTCCCCAGGCAGAAACATCCAGATGCTTTAAAATCTGGGCTCAGCGCACAGTTTTGGCTACACTGACATAGGAGTACACATTTTCAAAGTGGGGGTAACAGAACAAAGGTCCTTCCTTTCTCCTCTTCCCTGTCCTACCAGCCCACGTCCCACCCCCTGCATTGGACCTGGAAACGTGTCACCAGCCACCTTCCTACAGTTGCTATTCTGAGTCATCCTTTGTGGACCCAAGCGTTTCAGACTTCAGGAAGAAACAAGTTTAATAGTTAATCCCGAGGGAGCAAAGGGCATTTAGAACAAGATCCAGAGTCCTGGGAGGCGAAGAGAGGAAGTCGCATAGGCAGAGAGATAGACAAAAAGAGAGTCACCAAGTCCCGGATGTAAGAACAGGAGACACCTCAGCCAAGTTCTTTCCAAAGAGCTCTTCCTCCTTGCTCAGTACGTACATCAGACACAAGGCAAGCAGCAGCCTTGTGCCCCCACTCTCTGTCTGTGCTAACAGAAGCACAGGGTGGTGGTTTTACTGACGGAACTCCAGCATGAATCCCCTAAGCTTCTACGCGTAGGAAGCTTCCCACAAAAGACAAATGGAACGATGTCTCCATTAAAGTGTGCTCAGGAAAGAGACTCCTTTATAATCAAGGCTAAGTCTCCAGTGTACCTGAGAACTACGGTTTGCCATGGGAGAGAAAGCACAACAATGGATTACTTTTATTGCTTTCTTAACAGGCTGTAAAAGTGCTGGGGGAGCCTGATCAGATAATAAACATGCTATTTTGCAGTTTTGTGAAATTATTTTCTATGAAATCTTGAGTGTAAAAAGGTTGTGTTTGGTAAGTTATTTATTTGTAACTTTCAGTTTTAAAAGCCAGATAGCTAATAACATAAGGATCCAATGCAAAATTATTTTTGCTCTCTCTCAACTTACAGCCACAAATCTAGACCTATGTTTCTGACCAACCTGTGAACCTCCTTGCTCCTCAGTACTCAAGAAATATAGCAAAAGTGACAGCATGGTGATTTCTTTTAATGTACAAAATAAAACACAGAGTGGATTATATATTTTTTTCCTAACACTTCCATAATCTAGTCTATGACTTTTCTTTCAATTACAGTTTACATTAAATATTATTCTGTATTAATTTCAGGTGTACAGCATAGTGTTTAGAGAATCATATACTTTACAAAGTGGTCCCCTCGATACTTTAGATATCCACTTGGCCCCATACATATTTATTACAATATTAGTGACTATCTCCCCTGTGTTGTGCTTTATATCCCTGTGACTATTCTGTAAGTACCAGTTGCTACTTCTTAATCCATTCACTCTTTTCCCTCAGCCCTCAACCCTTCTCTCCTCTGGCAACCAACAGTCTGCTCCCTATATCTATGAGTCTGTTTCTATTTTGTTCATTTTGTTCTTTTAAATTCCACACATATGTGAAATCATATGATATTTGTCTTTCACTGTTTGACTTATTTCACTTAGCAAAATAAGTCCATCTAGGTCCATCCTTGCTGTCGCAAAAGATAAGTGTTCATTCTTTTCTTTTCATTTTATATAAGAGTTGCTTCCACATCTTGAATATTGTAAATAATGCTGCAATGAACATGGGGGTGCATAAATTCTTTCGAATTAGTGTTTTGTATTTCTTCAGATAGATGTAGTCTATCATAACTAAAACAACAAAAGTGTATATTGTTGGCGATGAAGATATGTACAATATCTTCATTATCTTCAAACAATACATAGAGGCAATCTTATGGATTAGTGTGGGTCTACAAAGTGACAGAATTTTACATGGTATGGTAGTAGTAATAAGATTTTTAATAGTAATTTTTGAAGCACTTATGTAGTAGGTACTGTGTTGACCTTTAAATATATAAACTCATTAATCTTAGTATTAGCTGTGTAGGAGTGTTATATCATTTAAAAAAAGAAAAAAACCAAGGCACAGAAAGATGTCCTGAAACAGAGCATCAGACTGGATATTTCTGAGATCTGAGTTTCAGTCCTGGGTATACATTGGTTGGTGTGAGTTTAGAGGCAAGTAAGAACTTCCCCAGAGTGTTGGGGGTTTTTTTCTTCCTGTTTTTCTTGTAATTAGACATTTGAGTTATTCCCATTGTTGTTGTTGACATAAATGGGAATACCATGAACAATCTTTCACCCACTACTGGGAACAAGTGGAGGAATTTCTCATAGGAATCCACTTAGGGGAGAAACTGCTGCATTATAGGAAATGTGAATGCTAACTTTACAAGGTCACAATGGACTCATTTCCAAAGTGGTTGAACCTACTCTCATCCAAAATATAAAAGTGACATACGTTGATCAGTATCTTTTCCAACACATTCTGAGATGTTTGAATTTTTGTCAAATAAATACCTATTTGGTCAAAATCACACAGAATCCTAATTTGCTGCAAAGCTCATAAAACTTAAAGCACAAAAAATATTAAGAAGTAATTTTTGACCCAAACTTACTACATCAATGCCTTCATGATGGCAAGGCTGTTTTGAAACTCTGTCCTACAACAAGTTTGTGATTCCAATGAGGAAAGGATTCTTGGAAGTCAGTGTAACACAGTGGTTGGCAAACTCATTAGTCAACAGAGCAGCAAATTGGTATAACATATTCAAGAGCATCCAAAAATAATTTATTAAACACCTACTCTGGGCATGTCACTAAGTCTTTGGCAAACAGCAGGAAATAAGACAGGTCTCTGACCTATTAAGTTATATAAATAAAACTAGGGGAGAGTGCTAAGAAGTAAAATGAAACCAGATGGGATGATAGAAAATGGAGTTGTCACATTACTGAGTTCCTAGGAGGAACCATTCCCATTGCATTCTATGTAAACAGTGCCCCCCTGAAGTTAAGCAGTGCAACAGTCCTGAGCAAAGGCTCCCTGCAAACCTGATGTTAGGAGTTCAGCCAGCCTTAGAGAGCTCTGAAAGGAGAGATTATAAACAGGAAACAGCAAGTTTAAAGGGACTGAGGCAGCACACGTCATAAGGGTTAAGAGCATGGCCTCTGGAGACATACCGACCTGGATTCAGATACCAGCTCTAGCACTTAGAAGTACATCCAGCCCTAACCAGTTTGGCTCAGTGAATGGAGCATTTGTATTTCCAGGGTCTGTGTGCAGTGTCCAGCAAAACACAGATTCTCAGTGAGGTTTCTCGAAAGAACAAATAAGTGAATAAATATGAAAAAAATGTAAAGTTCTTTTGGTTACTATTACACGTGGCCCAAGAAAACACTCACCCCACAATGAAGTATGTGACTGATTTTCTAATTCATTGAAAGTAAAAATACTGACATTCTCTCAGAGTACCAAAAATCCATATAGCATTCCCCTTTTAGAATATTTCACAACATTCATCAATACTAATATGTGTAGGGACAAAATGATTTCAACTCATACAGTACAGAAAAAGCTTTTAATACACTTTTTCCCCCCTCAAGCAAAATAGCTTCAGAAAATATCCATCATTAAGTAGTTTTATGAACGGCACTTTTGGCTACATTAGAGAACTGGAGATGAGTTCCATGTGTTCTTTCCTGATAGATTAGTTGTGTGTTAGTTTTATAATGCAACCCTTTCTTAGAAAAAAAAAAATAGCTAATATGTTCTAAAAGACAGGAAAAGTAAAATCCTAAAGTCACTGTTTTTAAAAATTAACATTTATTTCATGCTATACTAGTTATTTTTACCTTATAATTTTAAGTGTTATAATTTTTACTTAAGGGAGAACATAAATTTCAGTCTAATTTAAAAATAAACATATATATTAAGTACATATATTAATGCATTTGACAATATCATGATTATCTTCATTTTGGTACACTGCAGATTTGTCCTGTTAATACTGAACTGAGGAAAAATATGTTATTCTGTAAATTCTTCCTTAAGTGAGTAAAACCATGGTCAATGATATCAATAGACTAACCGATCAGCAATACTGAAAAGAGTTATTCTGATCATTTATGAACAAAATGAAATGGGATTAATATTCAACAGGAAAGTTAACATCATCTGTTTGAAATAGGTCTTGAAAGTAGATTATTTTCAGAGCATATTTGAAAGGAATGAGTATCTGAAAATGTGAGATTTCACTTTGAACTGAAAGCACTGATTTTTAAATTATTCATTGCTACTACTCCAACACATTCTCCTTTAAGATGGTGTGAAGTTGATCACATCTATTTTACTCAGACATGGATATCTTCATGGTACCCATCATTTCTCAACTAGTCCCCTAATCAATTTATATAATTATTTAACAGAGGTTAAAAATAAAACATCAAACAGAATCAATACAAAAGGCAACCACATTTTCCTCTCTACAACATAATTAACAAATATATCAAAAGTATGTTTTCTCTGGGATCGAAGAAGGTCATTTTTGCAATACACTGCTACACACACACACACACACACACACACACACACACACTGAAATAAGATTTCTTAGGAACACTGATCACAGTTAATTGAGACGAATTCTTGGTGTTACATTTAAGGATGGAGTTTCTAAATGTTAAAGCAGTCCTACTGTCAACAGATCACACAAAATACTTTTTTTTTTTAATCATCTGACTTAACAACATGAGTCAATTAAAATATAGACCCTTCACCTTCACAGGTACATGGCACCATTTGTATTTTATAAGTACCTCAAAGCTAAAAGCCTACATGCAGAACACTAGACTAGAAAGAACAAAGGATTGGGGGAGGGAGAGGGCAGGAGACCAGTATTTGACCCAGGCTCTGTACCCAACAAGCCTCGTGATTTTGGACATGCCCACCTGATGATTCCACACCTATTTCCTCATCAATGGGACAGGAAACTGTGCTTTCCATGGCTCCATGTAGCACTATCATTTCAGCATTTTCTGACTTTGAAGTTTTCATTTGGCACTGGACTTTATTTACAACTTAATCTTATACTTCTACCCAGTGGTTGGTCAGTAAGTTGCATCTGGATAGCTGAAGTCTCTCAACAACTAGGCAACTTATTGGTCCTTTAATCAAAAAATAATAAGTACCTACACTTAGTGGAGAAAAAATGGCCATCAATTCTTTGCAATGCCTTCCATCAAAAGGTAGAGGCTGTTTCCCTACCTCTTGATTCTGGGCTACCTTTGTGAACAACCAAATGCTATGCTGTTGTGACTTCCACTCAAGTCCACTAAAGGCCAGGCAGTTTCCATTCTCACCTGCTTCGATCTCATGTGAGAAAAGGACACACGAAGCAGAACTGAGGCACCCCAGCCAACTGCGAGGCATATGCATGAAGTTTTTCATGATCAGTCAGCCCCTGCATCAACTCTTCATTGAATACAAATGTTTATGTAAATCCAACCAGTACCACATGGAGCAGTGGCTGAGCCATGCCAGCAGAACTCTGCCCAAAATGCTAACCCATAGAACATGAGCAAACAAATAGTGCTATAAGGCATGTTTGGGGGTGATTTGTTGGATAACATGGATAGCAATGGACACGCTACTCTGTGTCAGGACTGGGCTTCCTTCCTTCTTTCGTTCCTTCCTTTGTTCCTTCGTTCCTTCCTTCCTTCCTTCTTTCCTTCCTTCCTTCCTTCCTTCCTTCCTTCCTTCCTTCCTTCCTTCCTTCCTTCCTTTCTCCCTCCTCCCCTCTCTCCCTCCCTCACTCTTTCCTTTCCTTTGTTCCTTCCTTCACATTGGTATTCATATGGCCAAATACATCAATGACAGTCCAAATCAAATAAATTTCACAGATGTGGAGTAAATAAAGTCAGGCACTTCCTTCTCTGGTGCTTAGAGTGGCCAAAGGGAAGTGATACTATGCCAGGGCCAACACCAGGGGCATTAGGACGTGTATAAGTAGCAGGCAAGAAAGAGATGCCAGTTCCCAAAAGGCGGTCCTTCTTCTGTCAATTAATGAATACCTTGGGACAGAAAGTCTTTAAGACTCATTTTTTAACGATGCCATAAAAATTTTTAAAGCCAAATGGTAAGGCCTCCTACTTACTAGTGGTGTGGCCTTGGACATTAGACGAACCTCTTTATGAGTCAGTTTCCTCAGTTGTAAAATGGGGATAATGATATTGGCCTCACAGGTCAGTAAGAATTAGCAATGTATAATTTTAGCACTGCACATGGTACAGAGTAAGCCTTCAACAGAAGGTCCCCACAGGGAGGAAGGCTAGGAGTGGGAACGTGGGCTTTCACGTTAAATAAACCTGTGTTTGAATCCAGGCTACTATCACTTAGCCGTCTTTGCAGCTGGATGAACTTGGGGACCATTTTTAAACTTGCTCATACTTAGTTTCCACAACCACAAGTAAGGATGATTAATATCTATCTGGCAGGGTTGTGATGAGGATGAAAAGAGATCATATTTTTAAGACTGATAGCACAGAGATTGGCATACAGTAGAAACACACATAGGAGCATATGCATGGAGATGCCAATAGTTCCCAAATGTAGATGGGCAGCTTTAATGTTAGCCATTCTATCTTACTTCGACATCCTATTCTTTAAAACTACAGATCAGAAAAGTTGGACTGCCAGAAATATACACATGTAGCATATTTAAGGTGGTATGTCAATTCTACCAGTACCAATACATTATAATACCCTATCACAAAATAATGGCTGAGGTACATCATTCATATTTTATTTTGTTAATACAGAATAAGAAAGTAACCTCATCAATTCAGAACGCATTATATGAAATGAGGGAGAAGTCAGCATTCCCTGGCTCCTTAATTTGGCACGTTGAGGAATTTCCTCTATACACCGAGCCCCAAAATGCGTTCTTTTCTACACCAAAAAAAAGAAACATGCATATATACAAGCGAGCTGAAAAGTTACAACACGAGACTTGCTTTTGGTGAAAAACTATTCCCGCCAAATAAGTAGCATGTCATGTCCTTAGAATATGTTATACTAGAAAGCTAGTAAAGATTCAGGCCAGTAAGGCAATTTAGTTTCAAGTTTTGTCACATATGGGCCAAGTTCTAGAACACTTCACTTAAAAAAAAGGGACAACCTCAAAGTAAAATCTTGTCAGAGGCTGGATTCTAAAGTATATGTGTATATACAAACGTCTCTGTTTTGACATTCAATACATTCAGCATTAATTCCAGAGAGCTGTTATAGCTGATAGAACAAATGATTTTGGCTCAGACAGAGAAAATGGAGCAAACAAGTAGTATCTCCCTATCTACGCACCCACATCATCACAGAGGTTTTGCTTTTTAACTAATGATGTATGTTGAGTTAAAGTTGACACTAAAGGCAGGAATTCAGAAAAAAGAAAAAAAAAGCATTTTTTTTATGGCTGTAAGCTCTTGAAAGCTTTAGATCCTCCTTCAAAATGCTAATTAACAGATACTATTCCTTTGACTGTTGCTTTAATTTGGAGCTCAGTGAACTCTAGATTCTCTATTAAACAGTTCCATGTTCATTTTGGTGAGAACACAGTTTAAAGCCTATAAAAACTCCTCTAGTGATTCCTACGAAGGAGATTTTAGCAAGACTTTAGAGAAACATTTCAACAACTTTCTGCAAATCAAAATAAGAAACAGTGGATGAGAACTACAAACAGAATCAAGTAAATCAAGTAAAGCAATTCTACCGATTTAAGAAAATTTTGTCCCAGATATTTTCTACACTGACATAAGTTGCTGTTTTTAAGATGTATTACCCGGCTTGTCCACATTCAAAACAGTGTATGAAACTCAAATCAAGATGTGTCTGTATGAAGAAAAGGTTTGTATGTCCAGAGCCATCCATGTGCATGGAAGTCTTGTCACTGCATTGCGTTGTGTTGTTTTGGCTTTGCTCATCCACAGCCACTTGAAGAGCCAGGAAGGCCACCCGCTCAGCACTCTAACTCCTCCATGACTTCCATGACAATGGTCCGTGGGCCGGTCAGAATCAGATTGCTCACAGTCCGGTAGTCCACATGCAGCACGTTGAGCCCATTGACAGAGACGACAAACTGACAGACCTGAAGGCAAGATCAAGAAAAAGCATCTATCATGGCTCCTGGTTTTGACAGACCTCTAATGAAGACATTGTATAGCTCTCCCAGGTCACGTTATTATTTTTATTTACTTTTTTATTGATTTCAAAGAGAAAAGGAGAGGGAGAGATAGAAACATCAATGATGAGAGAGAATCATTGATCAGCTACATCCTGCACACCCCACATTGGGGATCATGTCCACAACCCAGGCATGTATCCTGACCGAGAATCGATTGGTGATCTCCTGGTTAATAGTTTGAAGCTCAACCACGGAGCCATAGCAGCTGGGCGACATCATTCTTAAAATGCCCAACCATATCCAGCTGACAACTGCAATTCAGTAATTTCTAAGAAGCTATGCTTTTTCTGGAAGGCAACATAATGGAAAAAACATTTTTTGTAGTGTTTTACAAAACTGGATTTAAATCCTAATGCAGCAATGACTAGCTTAAGCTATGGGTATTTACATTTCTGAGCTTTATTTTCCTCAACTTTAAAATAGGGATGATTAATGATAATAACAATACTGCAGTGCCTGAACCTATGGGGTACTCAATACATAATCGTCATCACAATATTTATGGCTATTATTCATTTGGACCCAATGTTTAGGGAGACCCATGGCCTGGTGTTCCAGGACAATCCTATTATTTTATATCTATTTTTCCTGCATAATTATTAGTTGTGCTTCCTTTGACTTGCCTAGGTGCCCCAGTTGAGATAATAAATTCCACAAACTTTCCTCTTTCCCATCCTTATGAGGCCAACAAAGTCCAGATTTTATATTAAATCAGTGTTACTTGATAAAGGTCAGTGTGATAGGAGAGAGAATTACAATAAGAAAGTAAAAGGGCATCATTCAATATTGAGAGGCCACCGTGGATATGTCATAGGGAGCTTGATACCAACCCACAGCCACTACTTCAAATAGAATGACTTCCCTGAATTTGGTGGTGGCATCCGGTATGGGTACCTTTCATTAGCTGACATGCATGAACAGATGGTATATCTGTAGTATGTCTGGAGATATTTGATATGAGCAATTTGGTTATGTCACTCGAATAGAACAATGGAGAGAACATAGATCTCCAGCTGTCAGTGATCAGAGCAAAACAGAATCAACTGGTACATGGTAGGTACTTACAGTAGGCTAAACAATATCTCACCCCCAAAGATGTCCATGTCCTAATCCCCAGAACCTGTACATATGTTAGTTTACCTGGCAAGGGGGATTAAAGTTGCAAGTGGTATCAGATTCCTACTCAGCTGATTTTTTAACAGAAGAAATTTACCCTGGGTTATTCAGGTGGGCCCTTGGTCATCACAGGTAAGAAAGTCAAAGGCAGAAGTAGGAGAGGTGATGGCAGAAGCCAAAGGCTGGAGTGCCACAAGGAAAGGGCCAGGAGCCAAGGAGTGCAAGTGGCCTCTGCAAACTGAAAGGGCAAGGAAATGGATTCTCCCCTCAGAACCTTGGAAAGGAATGCAGACCACCTGCTGACACCTTTCTATTAGACATCTGACTCCAGAACTATAAGGTCACACATTTGGATTAAGTCAACAAGTTAGTGTTAATTTGTTACTGCAGCCACAGGAAAACTAATAAGTATTCCTGTTGAAAGAACTGAATGAATAAATGTAATAAGAAAAAAAAAAAAGCACAATTAGTATTGAACATGAAGGGTTTCTTAATTCTTATAACTTATACTTTCACTTACTAGGTTGCTTTTTGTGTCACTTAAAAATCCCTCAACAATATGTAAACTTAGATTTTTATTTCAAATTACTTCCTTGAATGAGACAAAAAAAAAAAAAAAAAAAAAAAAAAAAAGGAGCCATTTTATTTTATCATGCTTATTTTCAAGGTAGTAATTTTAGAACCAGGCTGTTAGGAAAGATGTCATCTCTCCCTAAGTGGTCTTAACAGCTGCTGTGGTTCCAACAGTTCCAATGTTCTGTTACTAAAGATGTGCAAAATGATCAAGAAATACAGGTAGGACTATGTAACATATTCAATTATAATGGACTTTGATTTGGCCTCCACAGTACACTATGTTCTGCAAATAAACACACATTACAAGTAACTACAAGGAGTGCACAGCCTAGGGAAAAATTTATTTTTCTTCTATATTAAAAAGCAAATACATGAAAACAAATAGAAACTGTGATGACCTCTGAAGTAGACCGACCTACCTTAGGTACATATCACCTCTTACCTGGGCTCAGGAGATGTAGATGCCACCCATAGGTGGCAATGAAAATTCAATGAGATAAAGATGCTTTTTTTCCTGCTTTCTAATAATTGATTGTAATTTCATTCCTCCAGTTCATGGACAAGAGATCAATTGTGAGCTCATGTACCTTCCCTAAATTCAATCTACAAAAAATGTAGTCCCTTAAATTCATAAAGAAGGTACATGGAGAACATCACCCTTAATGAAAAGCTTCCTTAACAAAACCTTAACAAAACATCATCCTTAACAAAACCTTCCTAGGGCCTTCCTTAACAAAACATCATCCTTAACCAAACCTTCCTAGGGCCTTCCTTAACAAAACATCATCCTTAACCAAACCTTCCTAGGGCCTAGGTGAGTGAGGTCTCTGACCACAGTAGGTGGGGAAAGAGTTAACAGGAAGAGGGAGGCAGGACTCAGGACATTTCAGGGTGTGATCAGTTGGGATAAGTACCTAGGCTGAACTCCAGCCTTCCTCCTGATAAGGAGCCAAACCAACCCAATAACCTTGCCTCTAATTCCTTCCCTGCACCAGTCCTGGCAGATGTCTGACAGCTCTCTGGATGGACTGAGTGCCCATGGGATTGTGCAATTGTGCATTGGTTTTTGTAGGTTTGGAGACATATCACAATTATTCAGTTGTTTCATCCAAAGTTGGAGTGTGTTGGAGAGAAACACTACACCTACGATTGCACAAGTGTCTTCTCACTGCCACGGAAATCTGTCTTCGCCAAGACACTTCCCTGAAATCTCTCTCTCTCTCTCTCTCTCTCTCTCTCTCTCTCTCTCTCTCTCTCTCTCTCTCTCTCTCTCTCTCATTGCTTCAGACTTTCCATAAAAATAACAAAACATTTAACGAGACACAGGTCAAGAGAGAGAGAGAGAGAGAGAGTTTCAAAGACAGAAAGAGTTGTAAAAAAAAGAAAGACACAGATACAGACACAGAAAATAATCAGGAAGAGCTGAGTCCTGATTAGCATAAGTATAGAAATCTATCTAATAAATGATGCAGAAAGCAGACCAAACCTGTTGCAATGGCAGAGCACATGTACTTATTTTAAAATATGTTTTTATTGAGCTGGGACCGGTTTGGCTCAATGGATAGAGCATCGGCTTGGGGACTGAAGGGTCCCGGGTTCGATTCCGGTCAAGGGCATGTACCTTGGTTGCGGGCATATCCCCAGTAGGAGGTGTGCAAGAGGCAGCTGATCGATGACTCTCTCTCATCGATGTTTCTAACTCTCTATCTCTCTCCCTTCCTCTCTGTATAAAATCAATAAAATATATTTTAAAAAAATATATGTTTTTATTGAGTTCAGAGAGAAAAAGGGAGAGAGAGAGATAGAAACAATTATGAGACAGCTGTTTTCTGCATGCTCCTTACTGAGGATCTAGCCCACAACCCAACCTGGGCATGTGCGCTGACCTGGAATCGAACCAGCGACCTCCTGGTGCAAAGAATGATAGATGCTCAATCAACTGAGCCACACTGGATGGCTGGGCTGAGCGCATGTGCTCTTAAAGTCACATGTCAGCTGCCATCTTTCAGGTGTTGATGTGGCAAATACATAACATGTACAAACCTGCTATGAATGAGGGTGGAGGCTTTTGATAGCCAAAGTATCAAAAATAAAAGAAGGTGGAGGATGAACCAGAGCAATGAAAGTTATGAGTAGATTAAGACATATTTGAAAGCTTAAAGTTTGGAAAGAAAAATGTTATATTTTGATTGTCCCAATTTCTTTAAACCTGGCTCCAAATCATATATCCCGGTTTTCATAATCTGATACGAGACTGTGAAAGCAAAAGCATAAACATTTAAATAAAGCACTGTCTTTTATGAATGGTTTGTTCTTTCTCCTGTTAACCATGCCTGTGAAAGCCTAGTCATTCATTTGGTCCATAAAACTAGCAAGTTTATTTTGTTTTATGGGGGAAGGGAGGGTCATTATATAACTCCCCCCCCCCCCAGCTTTATTGATATATAATTGACATATAACATTGTGTAAGTTTAAGGTCAGACTACTTCTGAGGTTACAACTTGCTGAATAGGTAATAGGAACACAGAATGTTTTCCCTAAAATCTTTTTTATTTTATTGTTTAAAATATTACAAATAGTAGTACATATGTTTCCCTTTTGTCCCCATTGACCTTCTCCCAGTTTCCCAAAGATCTTTAGACATGTAATCTTATTTGAAATTACCAACATATTCCATGAGGCAAGTACTATTATTATTATTTTATTATTATTATTTCCATTTCACAGTCACAGGTCCAGGATCAGAGAAGTAAATGGAGCTAGTAAATAGTGGAGGCAGGATTTTTTACTAAAAAGCCCTATCCTTAAGGCTTCCTCCAAGTAATAGATAATCATTTCCTTGTACAATTGGCACTGACATCACATGAATGAATACCCCTCCCTGGTATTGAAGCACCTCTCACACACTAAATTTCTTTTTCTTTTTTTTTAAATGTGGCATTTGATTTTTCCTTCTGCCGCTCTTGAAAATGGAAAAAATGTTCACTTGCTCATCATTGTCACCACTACCACCATCACCATTATCATTAGCATAGAAGAACATGATAGAGAGTAGTAAGGGGGCATTTTTACTCTTTGAAGAATAACTTGAGGCAATCTTTATATCTGGGCCAGCCTGGCAGGGGTATATGGCATTCTATTAGCCTCAACCAGAGTTCAAAGAACCATGTTTCTTTATAACATGTATGCAAAGGAAGAAGGTCCCTCTCTCT